TATGTTGAAGATCTCTCTCATCTTCAAGGAAGAAAATAGTCCCTGTGCAGTCTCATATCAGTCGTAGGTCAGTGGTTCTCACTCTTGTTAGACTCAAGACACCCCTTGGAAAATGCGAGCTCTTAGTAAAAAAAAAAAAAAAAAAAAAAAGAAAAAAAAAAAAAAAAAAAAAAAAGAAAAAAAAAAAAAAAAAAAAAAAAGAGTAAAAACTACAGAAAAATAATAGAGCAATTCTTTTATTGCAGAGAACTCAGACTGCAGTTGTTTGAAAGTTTTTTGACACTGTGGATTCCTACTGGAAATCTCTGGGGTTTTGTGAATCTTGTTTGTACACCTGATGTGCTAACATTGCTTGGCATCCTTGAAAGATCTCAAGGCACCCCAAGATGCCATGGTATCTTATTTGAGGAACGCTGGTCTAGGTTGTTACTATCTTGGTCTGTTTTTGTTTTTTCCTTTTCTATAAGGACCATTGTAGCACCTGTGTTTCAAAGATTTCAACTTTGTTCAGCTAAAGAAAGGGAAACTACTTCCCACACATCACATTTGTTGTATAGAATGCAGGATTGCAGAATTTAAAATGGTTAGATCAGCCGGAGAGGTAGATAATTTCATGGCCAGCTTTGGAAGCTCAGCTAAAGATTACTGGTTTTGGGCTTCAGTGTGTAAGCTGATTGTTAGGGATTCAGTATTCCTTTTTCCCTGGTGTGAGCATGCTTTTAAGGGGAACAAATGCTGTACTGTTTGTTTTCGTTGGAGTACCGAGTAACACGTGTTTCTAGGACTTAATTTCCGAAATTGTTATCCTAAGCAAGTTTATGGGACTTAACTCCTGCTCTAATCCTCATTCTTTAGCAAATTTTGTCATATTTCAGAGTGCTTTTTGACTACTTATAGTTCTTGTTTTTAAGAAAATGCAGTTACTAACTTTGGAGTAGGGAGACCTAGGAATTGCACACTAAGTAAGCTAGAGGGTGAAGGAGGTAGTCTTGGTAACTTGGTTGCTTCTGGCATAGGGCTTGCATGACAGAATGAAAAATGCAGATAACGTTAGAACTTAATGCTAGTGAGAGGTAATGCTGAAGATTTTTGTCAAAATCTTCAGTGGTATGTGGATTATGGCATAGCTTCAGAAATACTACATGTTTGTCTTGCTGCAGAGTATGCGTATATATACATATAACGTGTTTTGCGTGTGTGTATATATACATATAATGTTTCTACAAACAGTCTCCTGTTAATATCTGTGGGCCTGTTTAATGGTTTGCAATCCCCCCTCCGCCTCTACAATGTTAGGAGTTTTTTTTTCTGTAAATGAATAAGCCTCATGGTGCTACAAATAAGGGTTTCTAATACAGACTGCTTATGAAGCCCTCATGCATTTTTGCCTGTAGACCATCACAGCTAAAACCTGTATCTCTTTTTTACTCTTCTTCATTTGAGCTGCATCTCTAGATTCCCTTCTTCACATCTGAACATTACTGAATGGTGGCTCTAGCTTTCTTGGGGAAGTAGAAACAGGGTTACTCACTGAGTCACCATTTTTTCTTCTTAAATACACTTTGTTAGGATATGTATTGCTCCTTTTTTGGCACAACTGTTGTAGGAGCTTTTTTTTTCCCCTCCTCCTCCCCTCCCCCCCCCAACTATCTGGTCACTGAAGACATTAAGACTGAAGGTCAAAGATGAGACCAGTTCTTTTTAATTGTGTAAGGATGTGACATCGTACAATGAGGGGCAGGGCTAGCTAACCTCTCTTGGCATCTCCAGGAAACTACCCAGCTCAGCTGGGGGAGCTGCACACTGAAAAGGAAACAGTTACTACTCCACGGTGAGTAACCCTGTTTTCTCCTTGTTTCACCTTCCAACTGTTTTCTTTGACTTTTGACTTGGATTCTTGTATGGTAAAGATAAAATAGTTGTTCTGGCCCATGGTCAGATCCTAAATATGGAAAGACACCTGCTTGCAATTGGGAAAAAGATTTTGTTCAGTTGGTGGAGTCAGAAGGAAGTGAGCTGACATTTTATTGTTGAAGCCTGTAACTTAAACTTAGAACGTGGAATGCGTCTGAAGGGGCAAGGTAAAATGTCTATGAACGTGGGGAAGAAAAACTTAGTTATAAAAAGGATTCGGGTTGGTAGCGTAAAGAGTAAATTAATGAATTCCTCGTATTAGCTATTGCGGGGGGGTGTATTAAGATGCTTTAGCTATAAGTTGAGATGTCCTTTTAGTAGATTATTTTGGCAGTTCCTCTCTGGCTTTAAATAGGTACTAAAATCCAATATTATGCAGGATGGTGGGTTAGTTTCTGTTGTTTGGTTTGACCTGATTTTTGTATAACATGAATTATTGTCTCTTTCTATTTAAAAAAAAAAAAAAATAGTGGACAGGATCTTTCTTTCAGCGTCTGCTTCATAGATATTGAAAATAGCATGTGCCTTTTCAAGTGTAGAAAAAATTGCTAGTCAATAGCTTCAGTAGCTCAATAGCTAAGATCTAGTGTTACCAGTGAGGAGATCCTAATTAGTAGGACCAGGTTGTTAACTTTATTAGTTCTGAATATGATACCTTGCACCATGGGTAGTCCCATTAAAGTCAGTGGGTCAGTTTATGGATTAAGGTGATGCATACATTTAAAGATATGGAAATTTTAAGCTTCTGATTTCTAGATATTACCTGAGTTTAAATTGTCACTTAGTCCTTGCTCCGGAGCCTGAAGTGTGGTATAGATAGTCTTGACATTGGAAAATGTTTTTCTTGTTGGCTGTATTCTGTAGCAGTATCCATAAGGAAGAAACGGGGATGGTTGGTCTGCTTGAGGCCTCATAATTTTCTCTCCTGTTTGAGAGTAAAAACAAGAAAATATAAAAAGAAAATATTCCTAGTTCAGGAAAACTTGTAGGTTTGTATAATCTTGTCCTAGTGTTTATTTTCTCTTATAAGTAAAAGAGATGTTTGTGGTCTTTTATGTTTGTCCATTATTGGCATAGAAATTAACTTTAATATTAGGCTTCTGTTACTTGGAACCAATTTTTGCTCCTGGTAAGCTCATTTAGCAGTTGACATAACATACTGTTCTGAAGGAAGTTAGTTGTCTCGCATCTTTCTTTAGCAGCTTTTCCTGTTAGCTTGGTGGGGAAGAAGAGACTTTTAGGAAGCGCTCTGATTCAGTTGAGACAAAGAATCTCCTTTTTCTTCAGGATTATAGATAGATAGATTCTGAATTGGTATGTGTTTTTCTCCAAGAGTAGACTTGGGGATTTAGAAGTTCCTATGCTGTTTAGGAAAATGCTGGCTATATAAGAATATTGGCATTTTATTTTAGGAGGAAAAAAAGCTGTTAAACTTTTTATAATGCATCTGGTATGGAAAGGTATTTATTATCAGGCTTCCAACTCTGCTAATTGAAATGGAGCAAGGAAGATGCAGCTATTGTCTTTAGAAAGGGAAGTTTTCAGTTTAAAGTTGTACTACAATGTCTTTTTAATTGATGTGGGATTAAAGTTAATGTGCGACTATTTCTAATATACATATCAAAATCAGCATGTTAAGTAGCAAGAGCTTATTTTTAAGGTCTTTGGTTTCTCCTGGATTTGTTGATATCCCTAACACTTATCAAAATAAGGATTGTAGCTCCTTGTTCTTTTTTTGGATACCAATGATATATTATTGTAGGAGAAACATAACCCTCTCTTTGGGTCTTGGCAGAGAAAACCTTTTTAATATACCACCTTAAATTTGGAGACAGGTAGTTAGCTGCAGCCAGGCAGAAGGCAGGGCAGGATGGCACCTTTTATAGGTGAAGCCTATTTTGTCAAATGCTATGAAGTAGGCTGTTACCTATGAGTTTGACTCTCTGAACCAATTAGTCTTTATGTGTTGCCCTGCTCTGCCCTGCTTTCTGCCCTAAATCTGGAGGAATATTTCATTTTGTTTTACTACTGTGTTAATTGATGCTCTTGTTAAACTATGTGCACTTCTTGGCACATGATCCAACTTCCAACGTTAAGAGGCTGATGTTCCTTTTCTTCAGTTTTCTTTCTCTTTTGCTTTACTTTCATCCTTAATACATTCCTCAGTTCTGCAGGAAAAAAGTTGTATTTCCAGTATGGGCTACTCGGCGATACTGCTTGCACAACACTTTAGTGTAATAATTATGTAGCTCTTGAGCTTTTTTGAAAAGCATGCTGGTGGCTTTGTCCTTGAGGGATTGAATCCATGTACCTTTGAATGTATAGTGTTAGAAACAAAATAAAAAATGTGAGGTATAGACTAATGGCTCTGCTTTGCCATTAGGTACATTAGGTGCATCAGCTTGCAATGACATTATCTCCTGTTGCATTTATGCTGCCATGTGCTTAAATCTACAAGAACGCACAGCTGAAAACCTGAGGAGAGTCAAGTCATAGCTGTAATCTTGGATGAGCATTTCTTTATAAGGGAAAGCATGTTTTGTGTGTTTACACATTTTTTTTTCTTACTTGCATTTTTTTCGTGGCATGGTTAGTAGTAATGGCCTTCAGAGCAGGAATAAGGGTTGAGCTTTATGTACTTCTTGTTTTAAGGAAGGACCACAATTCCAGGAGGGAGGAATGTAATTTAATTCTATACTTCATCTTTCAAATAGAGATCAACTCAGTTCCTTGCCATCCAGCAGTCTAGATGCGCTGCAGTAATTACCCAGTGCATAATTCTAGTAGCTGTGCTTTGCCTCGTGGCCAGTTTAAGTGAAAATGGAATAAAATAGCAGTAACTTGAGTCTAACTTTTGTTAAATAGGATATATTCACCAATTTGGGCTCAAGGTGGCCTTATGTTTCTGCATCTTTTAAGTGAACTACTCACAAGGTATTTGTAGTTTGAGAATGTTAGCTAACTGTTGTTAGTAAATCAAGCCTTGTGTTAGGCCTCATCATTTAATTTGTTAATGCAAGTTAGTAAAAATCATTTGGTGCTCTGCTTCCCAATTGTGTAACAAAGTATATTCTCTCTTCATGCAGGGTCCCAAGTCTGGTGTCTTTGGAAGAGACAAAACTTTATACTGGTGTTGACTATGGTAAGTTGATCCTATTTCTATTAAATTGGGTCATGAGAGAATTAATTTCATCTTCTTATTGTTGCTGATGCTGTAAAGCGTATCCTGCTTCAGTGCATAGGTGTGGTGTGAATACTGGTCACTAGCCATTTGGAGTGGTAATTAGGCCTCTGTGTTTCTGGCTAGAGGAGGAGTTGGGAAGTATATGGGCCTGTAGCAATTAAGAGTATATCAGGCACAGAGAATGGTCTGAATACTGCACAGAAAAGTGGCAGGAAACATCTAGGTGATGGTCAAAGATAACATGTCCTGGTGGGAGCTAAGAGCTTACCTAATATCTGACAGTTTCAAAAAACAAAATGATCTAGTACAGTGGTTGTCAAACACATACCCCTGGGGGTACTTGAGACGGCCCTAGGGGGTATGTGTGGATGGGTGGACTGCCATGCAGCATCCTGTGCTGCCGTAGAGGTGCTGCCTGCCCAGCCGGATGCAGGAGGTAGGGGAAACTCATAGGCAATAGTTGCCACCGCTCTGCATCTGGCTGATTGCCTTCCCTTCCTCCCCTACTCTCCACTTGGAGGCTGGGGGGACACTGCTCTGTGTCCAGCTGCCAGGGGGGTACAGTGATGCAAAAAGGTTGAAAACCCCTGATCTAGTAGCATACTTGCAGAGGCAGATATTGCAACTGATTACACTACTTTAAAAATCAAAGGAGCTGATCCTTCAGCCCTGTGCAGCATCCAGTACTTATATTTTACTTATTTACATTTTAATAGTAATTGCTTACTGTGTGAGACCTGCATCTACCATTTGCATCCTGAGCTCAGAGTGCTTAATTAAAGAGTACTTTGGGCATCAAAGTCTATTATCTAGTCAAGGGGTTTTCAACCTATTTTTAAAGAGTGCACCCCTTCTGGTGGCAGTGGCTGGATGCAGAATGGGGGTGAGGGAGCTGGCACACAGGTACTCAAGGTGGTGGATGGTGGTGGCGGGTGCCACATGTGAGCAAGCTTTCTCCCCCGTCCTTATGTCCGGGTAGTGCCTTTGTGGCCGACGCGGGAGGGGCAGGGGGGCTTGAACGCAGGGGCTCAGGGTGGTGTCAGGTGCCACGTGCGAACAAGCTGCCGCCCCCCCTCCCCCCCATCCGGATGGTGCTTTTGTGGCCTGCAGAGGGGAGCAGCTGCCCTCGCACCCCCCTGCACCCCCTGCTCCTGGGAGGTGGTGGTGCTCTGTCGCAGCCTGCCCGTGCATACCTCCTAGCATCTTTCCAAGTACCCGTGGGGGTATGCATACCCCCAGTTGACAACCTCAGATCTAGCCCAAATAGTTCATAACCTTTTCCTTTTCATGATTAAGAATTTGGGTCCTTTGTCACCTCGGGTTATATCAGTATTTGTGCCAGTTCCTGCCATCTGTTTCTAGGCATTGTAATGGCCTTTGAACTGGGACTAATCTATTTTTATGACTATGGTGTGTGCCGATATGTGCTTTTGACAGTGTTACTTGGCAGTTAATCCCAGGCAAAAGGGATGCTCACCAGCCATTCTGAATGGTTTGATCTTGTATTTCTCTTGGTGAGGTGCAGAAAGCCAGGCCTGTCATCAAAGAGTTAACTCAAGAGAGACTGGAAGTTAGTTTAAGAACTATGGCAGCTCCTATTATAGTAGCATATGAATGCCTCACAATTTTTTAACATGTTAAAACCTTGCACCCCTGTGAAAAAGGGGTGCTGTTATCCCTGTTTTATAGATGGGGAACCAAGGTAAGGCAGGTTCATTCAGATACCTAAATACTTTTAAGCGCCTAATTTATGTTAACTCTTGGTGACAATTAGGTGCCTAAATTTTAATCTAGCCCTTATTTTATTTATTTTAATCTTAATTTTTGAGTAATATGTCTGAAGTCACACAAACTGCCTATAGGAAATAGGAACGTGAAAGCCAGTCTGCCGTTCAGTACTATAAAAGGGATTAGCCTAGTACAAGGAAGATTTTTTTTATCAAAGGAAGCTATATTCTTTACTCATCTTGAAGAGGGTGGTAGGTTCTTCCTGCCTTCAGTCATTCCTACTGTTTGGATTGGTAAAGTACTGCTTTCGCTTCTCCTACAAATAACCAAGGGAAATAGAAACTCCATTCTTTCCTTCTTGCTTAAAGGATAAACAGAGCCTTCCATTCGTTCCTTCTTTCCCAGTCAATATCCTTCAGTGCTTCTGCACCATAGTGACATGGACAGAACGGTGTGCTTATTTTGCTCTGCCTCTATATGACTGTAGCGCTTAACCGCTACTAACTCTGCTTAATGGGTAAATCAGGAACATGTTCCAATCTGCATGGGAGTGCAAGCCATTTCTGGCATTGTCCCCTGGCTCAAGAACCACTGTTGTAATTTGGTGAATATTGCTGAAAATGTTGAGAGGAGTCCTGATTAGTACTTTGGTTGCCAAAAGCTGATGTCAGTGCAGTATTTAAATGATACAGAGAACTGAGTGGGATACCCCATGACTTGGGCAAGGAGGTGCAACAGGCTGCTTCTGTTAAAGGGGGTGTGTATGTATGTGAAACCATTATTTCCCCTTACTTTGTGTTCAGTACGTTCTTATATCTCAAACTAGTCTTTGCTCATCCACGTTTGCTTGCCCCATACTGTTTTTGTTGATCTATCCTTTTATTGCTCTGCTTTTCTTCTAATTCTGTAAAATTTAGAGAACATCTTGTGTGTAATGTTCTTGTTGGCTTGTCTAGATTTGTCGAGAGAGAATCACAGAGAAACAATTGCTAGGATCACAAGGAAACTGCTCCGTAAGTATATTTTCATGTAGTCTCCCTAATTTTACATAGAACTTGATTACAAAAATTTAAATGCTTCCTGTTCACTATACTCTTAAATGTCATTACATCACTGAAAATCAAAAAGAGAAAAGTCTGTTTTGTGGCCTTTTCTTTGCTGCACGGTTCATGCAACATTTTGAACTTCAGAAAATAAAATGTTGAATTGTATGCAACTGAAAGTTGTGCTTCATGTTGGATAACAAGCTTTTATTTCCCTCCCTTCAATGATAGATTATATACTTGATAATTCGGAAGATGACACCAAGTCTTTGTTTCTAATCATAAAGGTATGTTTAATGTGTGTGTGGTTTTTTTTTAATTTTAATGAATTGCTTGGTTTTACTCAGTGTTTTTGTTTGTTTGTTTGCTTTGATGACAGATCATTAGTGATGTGTTACAGTTCCAAGGATCTCACAAGCATGAGTTTGATTCCAGATGGAAGAGCTTCAACCTAGTGAAGAAATCAATGGAGAACAGGGTCAGTGTATTGTTTCAGGAGGAATTTTTGATTTTTCCTTGATTTTTATTCTTAGTTGCACCCTTCATAAATTCCAGTTTAAACTGATAAAAGTTGCAGTGTAATTACATATTCTAAATATATTAGATTATTTTTATCACTGTTTTTATTAAGAAAGATTCTAAATGCTCTGTAATTATTAAGCCTTGTAACATCCCCTTTTTATATACACCACCTTATGCTATTATTAATGGGTCCTTATGTTTACTCACTAGGCAGGAAAATTAAGTGCATGCATATGTTTTTGGAGACTAAATGCATGGAATTTATTACTTGGAAAGCACCAGTCAAGTTAGTTTATAGATTGCATCTAAGTTCAGAAATGCATAGGAACCAATCTCCTTTAAATGTAATAATATTTAGAACTCTTCATCTGCTGAATGCAGGGTAGTTTTCAAAAGGGAGAAACAAATATGTATTTCTAAAGTGAAGCAGTAGAGACATAGACTTTTAAATCTACTGCCTAAATTGAGAGGTTAAATCAAGAGATTAAAAGGCTGTCAGAACATGGCAGTTTTGACAGTCTTATAGTAAATAGTCCTCACTAATTTAAGGCATTAAAATAAGGAGCAGATAAGGTACAACTCCCTAAAAAAAAAAAAAAATCAGTGGAATTTTAAGCACCCAAATACTGGGGGGGCGGGATACGTGCCTAGAATCTTAAGTTGGTCTGGCAGCAGGGCACTGATATGATGTGCGTTTATCAGTCAACTGCCTTGGACACTTACATCTTCAAGTGTCTATCTCATGTTGAACCTTGCTATAGTCCCTCTTCGTGCCTTGGCATCTGTGCCTTTTCCTGCCATGGCAGGGGGTCAGACTTGATGATCTGCTCGGGTCCCTTCCGACCCTACCAACTATGAAACTATCTCCCAGTATTCCTTTATTAATTAAACAAATGATCATGTTTGCAATAGTCAAGGTAGTTGCAATATGATGCATAGCCTCTTATCACATGGGACAAAAAGTCCTACACGTGTTAAAGGCAACTGTTAAAACTAACAGCAAAATTTATTAATAAATATAGAGCTGGAGATATAAATGTAGTATATGTAGGACTGGATGGGGTCTCTGGTCCATTATGTTCAAACTTCTGCATTCAGAGGCAGTCATTTTGTCAAAAGATTCTACAGGATTGTCCAGTCTGGCCATTCTTGCAGACAAGTACGTTTTAGTGTGCCACAGGTAAAGAGCAAAGGAAACTGACTATTTTATTTAAATAAATAAATTGTATGCATGTATTATATAAAATATAAATAAATAATATAAAACAGTGTGTATAATAGTAACTGTTTAACATTTAAAATAAAAGCTGTGGGTTTTTTAATAGGATCACAAAATAACCCTCAGTGGCTGGGGACAGAAATATCTACCTCAGTGGCTAGGGACAGAAATTACGCACCCAGTGGTTTAAGTCCAGGGTTCCCAACCCCTGGGCCTCAGTCCAGTGCCAGGCCATGAGGGGCTGGCTGCCAGACCAGAAGTGACCATGGACCAGCAAACTGTGGACTGGAAGTGACAAGCATACTGTGGACCGGCAGCCGACCCTTCTTTATACTGACTATAAGGAAGGGTTGGCTACCTGCCCAAAGTATTCCAGTCACTTCCAGTCCTCAGACTAAAAAGTTTGGGAACCTTTGGTTTAAGTGATCAGAAACTGGTTTGGATCTGTAACGCAACAGAAATTTAGTGTACATAAACCACTTTCAGAATGGCTGAAACTGGCTAAAGATAAACTTGGATGGATGTAGTATCAGACTTAACTAATTTAAGTTAAATCAGTTTATTGAGCTTCTGTCCCAGATCCCCTCCAGATTTAAGTTAACATGCAGTCCCCTAGCATCTCAGGATGCTTTAGACCTCCCCCACAGATGCTCCTGTTGCAGGGTAGGTGGTCTAGCCTTAGCCCAAGCTGTCTGCTCCAGCGGAGCAGGAAGACATGCTCTAGCAGCCCCCAGTCCCCACATGTAAAGATTCCCAAAATGATTTACAGCCAGGATGCACTGACTCCAGCAGCAACTGTTATGGAAGTCTTTCTTTATATATATGGCCCAACAGTTGAGATGTCTTTCTGTACATCTCACTACTAATAGGATGCATTATGTGAAGTGATCTTGGGGAGAGGAGTTAAGGGTTCACATGGCTGATGTGTATGTGGAGATTTTGAACCAAATTGCTCTTCCTTTACAGCTTCAAGGAAAGAAGCAGCATATCAGAGCCTTGCTGATTGATAGGGTCATGTTGCAGCATGAGGTAATACTTGTTCACTACCAATTTTCAGTCACTACTGTACTAGGAAAAATTGCATGGCTACATAGTCATTTAAAGGCATTCTGTACAATAACTCTGAGGTTTGTGTAACTCTAAATATGCCCTATATCTAACATGCAGTTTTCTACTTAATTTAGCTGAGAACACTAACTGTTGAGGGCTGTGAATATAAAAATATACACCAGGGCATGATCAGAGATCTTCTGTGTTTGTCCACAAGTTCCTATGGTCAGGTAAGCAGAAATCGTCTTTGTTAATTTGCACAGTTGTGGGGGGCGGGGGTTCAGCTTGATATTTGCAGTGGATAGATATAATATAGTTCTTTTTTTGGAAGGCTTTTCATTGTTAAAATGTCTTTGTTTCTAATGCTATAGAAACATTTAATCACTTATATGATTATTTTCAGAGCTCTTGCCAGTCCTTGTCAGGCCAAAAATTTAATGTCCTTTGAAATTTATACAGGTCAGGTTTTTTTTGTCCTGTGAAGTACATTTGCTTAAATCGATAGAAGCCACATGCACATTTCCAAAGAAAGTATTAGGCCCATAAAATCTGGTGTAGAATCGTCTGGACTAGTTAAAAAATTGAATTTGGTATAAATGTGCTAACTGCATATCTTTTAACAGTTCTGTAGATTAAATTCTCTATCCATACCCCAGGTACAGCGGGGATTGACAAACGTAGCAGTAGTAAGCAGCTATACATTGGTTAAGAAATTCAGTGGCGAGCGCTGTAGTAAGGAAGAGAGCAATATATTGCTGTCAGATTACTAGTGCAGACCCTGATTGCTATGTTTTTATTAATGTTAGACCATATAAAGTAAGGCAGTAAAGGGGAAAAGTTTAAAGCTGTGCTCACCTGGTACTGTGGCTGAAACAAGAAATTTTAAATCAAAATTCTGTATTTTTTTCAAGGTTTCTGAAAACGTTGTGGAGAAGTGGTTTGTCATGTAGATAATTAGCATACCGGGGGGGGGGGGGACTGCTTTGTACCTAAACAGCACAATTTGAATTAATTGGAAGAAGCTATGAAAATAATTTTAAGAAAAGAAGAAAATAATTCTGACATCAGTTTTAATGCTCTTCCTGCACAAGTCAGTATATCAGTGTGTGCTGGTGAGGTGTCCAAAGGATTAGAATTATGAGAATCAAAAGGAGGGGTCCCCCAGTGATATCTGCTAGAGAATCGGTTGACTTCCAAATCTTAGCCCTATTAATTTGGACCATCTGTGGCTTTCTGCTATGCTATTCCCAATAAATTGGATACTGCCAGACTGGATCACAGATTCCCCTGCAGCAACAAATTGTAATATCAGGCATGATGTATTCTTTTGCAAATTGCTTTAGTTGGATCATAAGCCTTTTTCATAGTTTCATAGTAGGAGGAACCTGAACAGATCATCTAGCCTGACCCCCTGCCACAGGCAGGAATGAATGCTGGGTTCACAGGACCCCAGACAGGTGATCATTCAACCTCCTCTTGAATTTGCTCAAGGTAGGGGTGAGGACCACTTCCCTGGGAAGTTGGTTCCAGATTTTGGCCACACTAACTGTAAAATATTGCCTTCTGATCTCTAACCTAAACCTGTTCTCCATCAGCTTATTATCATTGTTCCTTGTCACCCCAGGTGGTGCTGGGGAGAAAAGGGCTCTACCCTGTTGATCTCCCCTGATGAGTTTGTAGGCAGCCACCAGGTCCCCCCTCAGCCTCCTCTTGCCGAGGCTGAACAGGTTCAGGTCCCTCAGTCTCTCCTCATAGGGCCTGTCCTGCTGCCCTCTCACCAAGCGGGTGGCCCTCCTCTGAACCCTCTCTTGAAGTGTGGTGCCCAGTACTGGACGCAGTACTCCAACTGCAGCCTGACCAAAGTCGCACAGAGGGGGAGTATCACCTCTTTGGACCAGTTTGAGATGCATCTTTGGATGCATGACAAGGTATGCTGGCCTTGCGGGCTGGCATTGGCGGCTCATGTTCATCTTGGAGTCAATAATGGCTCCAATATCCCGTTCTGCCTCTGTGCTTTCAAGAGGGGGACTCCCCAGCCTGTATGTATGCTGTGGATTCCTTCTCCAAAGGTGCAGCACCCTGCATTTGTCTACGTTGAACCCCATCTTATTCTCGTCTGCCCACTTTTGTAGTCTGTCTAAATCTAGTTGCAGCCTCTCTTTCCCTTCAAGTGTGTCCACCTCGCCCCACATCTTAGTGTCATCAGCAAACTTGGACAGCATGCTTTCCACCCCATCGTCCAAGTCGCTGATGAAGATGTTAAACAGTGCGGGCCCGAGGACCAAGCCCTGGGGTACCCCACTGCTCACATCTCACCAGGTTGAGTACAACCTGTCCACCTCTGCTCTTTGGGTGTGCCCCGCCAGCCTATTTTTGATACCTTAAATACACAAAATAGCTGATAACAGTGATGGGAGTTCACAGCATTGTGGAACCTCCCAGGTGCATATGGTTCCAGACATGTATTTCTTGTCTAGGGAGATTCTGTGGGTCTGAAGACCACCTAACCGCTGCTATCAGAAGGAACAGTCCATAGAAATAGGGAAAAGTAAATCTGACTTTTAAAATACTATTGATATATTCAGTAATGTTGGGCCAAGATTTTAAAGTTATGTTGAAAGTGATCTTTTTAAGTAAATGCTAGAGAGAGTGAAGTATATTGAAAGCAAATGTGTGATAGGGTTGGGAAATGCATTGTTAACCTTTCAAAAATAACCCTGCCCACTATGATGAGGACTAGGGTATCAATGCTGTGTATATTTGTTTACATACACCTTGAAGGTCTCTAATATTTGTTTTTACAGGTCAGAAATAAAGCTCAACAAGCCTTCTTCACAGCACTGGGGACATATAATTTTTGTTGCAGAGATATCATTCCTTTGGTTTTGGAGTTCTTGCGTCCAGATCGGCAAGATGTCACTCAGCAGCAGTTTAAAGTACTGTCTCAATTACTTAATTTCAAATCTGTCTCCAGTTTGTGTCTGTGTAAGAGATTTTTATATGTTAAAATACATGCACTTTAATATTTTTATTAGCATGTCTTTGGGTTGGCTATATCTCCCATGAATGGCTAACCCTAGAGTGAGTGTCAGTAACCTTTCCAAATGAGTGCAAGCAAATAATAAAAAATATTTTCCTCCACTTCTATATATGCATGCTCCATTTCATAAATTGTTAATAGCTGTTGGTAGCTTTGCCATTTCCAGTAGTGCTGGGAGGTATCCTGAATTGAACAAGGAGTAGAGCAACAAAAATATGCTCTGATGTATCACAGATAGGTTGGTAAAAAGGTGATAGGATCATAGGCATGGAAGGAACATCCTTGAGCCATTTAGTCCAGCATCTTGTATTTGTAGGCCATCTAACTGATGGATATCCCAAAAGCACCATGTCAAACCACCCTCCCCTACAACTACAAAAAAGGACATCCAAAATCCCTTGTGTTAACAACAGGATTGACAAGGACATTAGAAATCCCCAGCCACTGTCTTACAGGGTGGTAGCTGGTTAATCCCTGCTTAGAATATCCTAGAAAATGGACTAGACCCCATGCTACAAATCAAGGCAAACATCTCAATAGTCCACAAATCTGATTTGCAGGAAAAATTGCTTCCTGACCCCAAATTTAGTGATTGATATGAACCAGGGCAGAGAAGTGAAGCCCTCTAGCAATGCTACGTATACATTTCAAGAATCATGGTGAATTATGAAGAGAGAACTCCCTGGTAACTACCTTTTTGAAGAGCATCAGAAGTATTTTCACACACTATTGAAAATGAATACTTAATATGGTGAGAACTATGGCAATATCTCATATTTGGGTAGTGAAGCTCAGGGCTTCTACCTCCATTAGTGTAGCATTTTAGTTGCTGATAAAATAGATTGTTTTATTTAAATAGATATATAATTTATATTTTAAATTTGGTTTTCTACAGGGTGCCTTATATTGTCTTCTTGGAAATCACAGTGGCGTATGCCTGGCAAATCTCCATGATTGGGATTGTATTGTACAGACTTGGCCAGCAATAGTCTCCTCTGGACTTAGCAAAGCCATGTCTCTGGAAAAACCATCTATAGTTAGACTTTTTGATGACCTTGCAGAAAAGATCCACAGACAGTATGAAACAATTGGATTGGATTTTACAGTAAGCAGAAAATTAAAAGTTAATATCTGTACTTCAGAAGATGTTTTGTTTATTTGATAAATTGTTTCAATTGTACACGTATTTTATTTCCTCTGACTTCTGACATTAATGGATCAATCTTGTACTGATTTCTGGCATACGGAAATGAACACCTTTTATTTCTGAGACTTGAAAGTTATATGTTTCATCCTAAAATCACTAGATTGCAGCCCCTTTGTTAAGTTTTAAAGAGGCCAGTATGAAATGTGAATGGAAACTGAAGTTAGGTTATCACCAGGGATCTGGGTTTTCAGTTTTCCCATGGAAAAATGGAGAAGACTATGGATTCCCTGTCTTTATTGGAGAAGACGCAGATTTTTCTCTTTAGCAGAGAAATCTGCGGATTCTCTGCTTTTGAAAAAAGAGCTCTTGCAGGCTGGCACAACTCCAGCCTGCAAGAGCCAATTGCAAAAAGAGCTGGAAACCCCCAGCCCTGGCTGGAGGGAGAGGGGGAGGGCAGAGCCTGAGCCTCTGAGGCAGCCAAGGCCGGGCTCAGGCTCACCCTTCACCCCTGGAGC